TTCTACGGCTTTATTACAACAGTCAAAACAACTGGTCTGAGTAAGGATATTCATGTTTAACGTGCCCATCCATACCGTATCCTCTGATTATAAATTCGCACACATATCTCAGATTTCCATACAGAGTTACTTTGCACAACTGAATTAATGATGAATCTTAAGTACAGGGATTTTGGCATATTTAAATAATCTATTTGGCCCAATTGCGAAAACTTTAGCGATCTATCTTTGCCGATGTCTTCGAGGAAGCATCTGCAATTTTAGGTGAATAATATTATTATTTCAGCAATCACTGCTGCTTTTAGTTAAATACTTTCTGAAACCCCCTAGGTTGCTTTTGCCATTTCCTCTCCAGTGTGCAAGTAAACTAGGATGATTTAATTGCTTTCCCACATGATGATCAGAATCGTGCGCGCATCATCCACAAGCTACGTTGTTGTTGCTTCTGAGTGTCTGTCTAAAAGAGCAGCATTTATCATCTGAAAATACTTCAGAACGGAATTCACATTTTGCAGAAGTTGCACGCTCCATGTAGCATAATGACTGGTCATACTTGCACATTTGTTGATATATAAAGGCAGAAGAAGCTTACGAGACTATCGAGCCTTTAAACTGTCACTCACTTTAATTGCACGAAGGCATTGAATTCCTTTGCGAGCGATTTTGACATACAACCTAAAAGCGTTTCAGTAATTACAAACGAAGAGTTGGAGAAGGAATTATTGAAATAAGTAGGTCCACACTATGGCAGATTCTGAAAATATATGCTTGCATGAAAACATGTTAAAGAAATGCAGCAGATTCTTTATTCGAAACATCCTCAAACTCTTTCGACCTGCAGTCCCTGAAATGATCTGGAATCTTACTTGCACCTCGACGTCGAGGTATATAATTAAAGCGCTTCTTCAATAGGTAGATTGTTATAGAACGTTTTTAATTGATCATAGGCATATCGAGTTTACTTTTATTGCATACGTGCATTTTTCTCGGCAGTGAGTTGACATGTTTGGGGGATTCTAAAACCATGACACTAACAGATATCTGCATAAAGACGGATGTCCAAAATCCCCCTCTTAAGGTAAACGCTTTTAAGAAATATCTTATTTTTACGGTTCTGCTAGACACGTAGAATATAATTCTTATTTATGGACAATCGATTGAAAGGCGTAAAGTGTTCACCACTATTTATAGAACAACATAAAGTTTGCCGTAGTCGAACGCCAGAAATAATTACGAAGAAATGAGACGGAAGGAATTTTTACTTAATCGGTTTACGATTGCACCTGACAACTCCGTTTAAATTTATTCGTTATTGACTGGCATGCCTACATGTGAGCTTACGGAATATCTTACTCCTGTGACACCCCAAGCAAGCGAAAATCTGGTTGCCTTAGTCCAGCGTATATCAAACAATGCAACAAGAAAGAAACAACTGACAATTCTCGTAAAACCATGCTGGAATACATAGTAGTGCTTTGGGCTTTTCGGTAACAGCCGTACTATATATTGCACGTAATTTGGCAGTACATGTATGCAAATATTTAACAAAACGATTATTTTCAACGTTATTCTACTTGGGCTACTTTATTCACAGGATTATTAGCATGAAAAGACGTCCTCTGCATTTAAAACTTAAGTTTTCTTAGTAACCCAGATTCTTCACTTTTTCGGAAGTTACGGCTTTTCTAGAAAATCTGGTTAGTTCAAACAAGGCTATATCGGTCGCACGAGTCGGCGCTTATCTAAATTAATATCGGAGCACCTTCCGGCATGACTGAACAAAGGTGAAGTCAGAAGCATCAGCGGCGCCATCCTTGCCCACATGGTTGACTCCGGATATCATGTGGATCCCAACGAAGCTTTTAAAGTAATTTATAGGGTCCCACCAAACTACCCGAAGCCCCTGGGTCAGCGCCCGCTAGCAACAGCAGAAGCGACCGCTATCAGGT